TTTTGAAAGTGACTTACTAAAATTTGTTGACATAAATATATTTCACAGCAGGATAATAACAATAGTTACTAGCTCTAATGTATTTCAGAACATTCACCTAGGTATATAAGTTATCTGCAAAGTTATTTCACGTCTGATTATTATCAGAAGGATAAGGCTCAGCTTTATAAAACCACACACTGAGTAATGCATTTGTCATAATTCAGTTTGTAGGTTGTCGTAAGATGCCAAAAAAAAAGACACTGTCCAGATCGAGGAGAGCAATATACAGATATGAGAATATTTTTTCACATTATATGTTTTTCAGGATAATTTTGTCTCATATTATACAGAGACCATTATAAGTTTTACTTTGATTTGGGTGGAAGTTCTCTTTGCAAGCAGAGTTGAAGTTTGAGATAAGTTCTTGCAATGTAAAGAGCTGCATGACTATAGCTTGAAGTATTTCAGGAGGGTACCCTGACAGTGTTGATACAGTATGGAAATCATGTGTCAGAAGACAGCTTCATTTAACACTGCTTGAAAATACTGCTTATTTGAACTGAGGAAAGAACAAAGTAGGAAAGATCACTAAGTTATAAAGCAGTTTGTTATAGAATTCTTTAAAAAAAATCACTATTCATATTCAACCTGCACTGAAATCTGAATATTTTTTCCTAAACTTAATTTGCAAATGGTGGAATGCAACAGAAACAAGTTCCAGGCACTGGAATTTATGGAAGAGTCAGGGGGGGAGTTATGCATCTTCCTCATATGCTTGTTATCATCCAGGCACAACTTTGAATTGTCTGCATCACAGAGCAGTATCAAGACTCCTTGCAGGAGCTCTGATTACATCAGAGATGCATTGCAGAATTCAAAATACTGCAGAGGACACGGGGGGGGAAACGACACTTGCAGTGGAATTTTAGCATGTTGCTCATTATTTCTATTTCTTTCCCTCAGAAGGGCATCCTTAATAATTCTTTCCCCATCGTCTAAGAGTCTGGCACCCTTCCTGAATTTTGGCTGAAAGTAAGGGCAGTACAGATTTCTAATTCAATTTCTTCACCAGACGTAATGGATAAGAGTATCATCTCGTGCAAGACAGATTTTTAAAAGATGTTATTCCTTTCACATGCACACCTCATCATTTAGAAAGCCCTTGCTATGGGACAGTTTTCCTGTATTACCATAGTTTCTAGAAGCCGGAACAATGATCAGGGTTGTATAATGTAGTAAAAGACAGTTCTTACCATAGTAAGCTTACAAACAAAATAGGAAATGATGCTCAGAGAGAAGTGATTTGCCCAAGATGAGAACACATTATCAGCCAGGGAGCTGGAAAGATGAACTAGGCTTCACTAACTCCCAGGCACTCAAAGGGTAGAATATGATCTCAGATGAGGAGGGATTTTACCACTGGGCCTTAACCAGAGCAGTTTTATTGGAGAATTTTACTGTTACAGCATATTCTTAAAGTTCATCTTGTTTAATTGTTGGGAAAATTGTTGCTGTAGGCTAATGTGTTTGTCTGACTGTATATTCCAGTGTGTTATCTTTAATCCTTAATGCATTTCTTACAGCCATTCCCAATGCCATCTCTCTGCAATGTATGAATAAAACAGTTTGCCTGATTTTTAAGCTCAATAGCAAAAAACACCCCTCCATTAATTAGATCTCTCCCATCTTAAAGCAGTACTGATCGTTCTGTAGAAGTACCTTCCAAAGGAAAACAAGAAACATACAGAGAAATGTATGGGTTTATTTTCCTTCTTCCTCTGTTCCTTCTAGTTAGGCCTATCTTTTCTGTTGTCCTTTACTTCCTCCTATTCTTCCCCCTCAGGTAAGACCCTATGTGTATCTGAGGCAAAGAACATGTAAATAATACATGTATGGCATCAAATACTATAGCTGCCTACATGGGATCTGTGGGCTTGCCAGTGCTGGTTATGGGAAAAGGAGCCACCTTTTATAACTGCAGTCATTCAGTGAGTTACACAGGGGATTAATTTGTGCAACTTATTGTCTTGCACAGGTCGAGAAGCTGGAAGCAAAGAAAGAAATACTTTTTTCTTTACTCTGTTGTTTCACAGTTGATGCCTCAGGGTTACAGAGTGTGTCTGTAACACAGAACATTTACATTTCCCTCTCCCCATTTCTTCCCATTGTGTCAACAATGGATACAGTGAGAGATCAAACCAGTGACAGAGATAAGCTGCATCCTCATTTTTCCTGGCTGAGATTCAGAGGATAAGTTGTTGCTAACCAACATCATCTGGTATTACAGAAGGGAAAACGGTTAACAGCTCCCATTTATCCATAGTCTTATGTCAGTCATAATCTTTATTCTCTTTGGGCCAGCCCTGCCTTAGACATAGTTGAGGCAGAGCGGAAAATGCTTGTATCTAAAAAAACAACAGTTAGTCTTAGAAAAGGAGCCCTACATAAACATACATCAGGTAGCTCTGTTTTCTCACATCAAACCTATAGCTTGAACTCCAAGTGGCATTACTTCTGCTGATGATATCTTGGGAATGTATTAACAGAAGACCAGCTCTGAGGTCATTAGGAGTGCTTCATGAGATGGGGCTGTATGTCGGGGTCATTTCCAGTTCAGCTGTTCCGTACTTCCTCTGTTCAACATGCTCTAGCTAGCGCTATCCCTTCATTTATCTGAGTCCTTCAGCCTTTCCAGTGGGCGATGGCAGGGTGCCATCATCTGTCATGAAGCTCCACTGGAGCTCCATGAAGTCCCAGTATTGGCTGGAATTTCCTAGAATGTGACTTTTTAGTACAATTACTTTTTCCCTTTAATGTTATTTCCTAAAAAAAGACTTTCCAGTCAGCAGGCCTTCGCTCAGTCTTTCTTGATGCAAGAGACAAACCAAACTGACTGGCAGTTTATTTGAGTGCAGGCCTGCAGGATTTTGTCATTGTTTGCACCCACCGTTACTTCCAGAAGAGTTTCAGGATTGCCCATCCCCTGCAGTGGGAATTTCCAAAGTCATAACTCTGGAGCAGAGACAGAGCAACTCAGCAGTACAAGCAAGTATGTAATGATAAGGCACTGAAAGCTAAACACAGTTAAGATTTTGGCATAGAGAACAGATTACTTGCCAAATAGCTGTTCTCAAGTCACTAGCAATAGTAATAGAGATCCCACTTTGTGATAGAAGCAAGATGACGAAGCTTACCTCTTTGCTTAGCTTGGGCCAGAAAATAGTACCACAGCTCCTGGAAGGTCTGAATCACGCCTTGTCCGTTCTTGTATATTCCTGTAGGCTTTCTTTATCCACATGCTCTAAAGGTAAGTAAATAAATTATTTCCTTTTGTACTAGAGAGGACAATAACACTTGATCCAAACCTTACTTAGGGCTACCTGTTTTTAAGGGTACGTAAGGAATTGCTCTGTTCATAGTAACTCCTGTAGGAAGTTTAGGAGCAGGACTGAGATAGTATTTTATTGACAGCAGCATGTAAGTCACCTTGCAGCAAGGAAAGCCTGTTGCTCAACTGAAGTGCAGCTGTCTTTTGAGTAATTTGCTGTTGTGTATTCATGGATTTTTGTTCTATAACAGGTACGTAACACTACTGATGTGGTTTATAAACCCCAGCTTCTGAAAATGACAGTTCTGTGTTTAAGGAAGTCACTCTAACAGGGGTGTATACATACCCAGGGTGTGTATCAAACAGGAGGCAAGTACAGCCAGGAAAAGAACAAAACTATGTACTGCTACTGAAGCCAATCAAGTGTAATATTTATTACTTTCTTGTGAACTCAAGGCTAGAAAGTCAGAATACTTCTGTATAATTAATATCTCTTTATTGTACAGCCTGCTTAATAAATACATTTATCAAATGAAACTCAGCAACTCCATACATTAAGCTGTAGCTGACTGTACAGATGGAAGATCTGGAAGCAGCAGTATACAACCCTCCTGTGTACGAGCAGAGTTCCAGTCTGACTTTTGAAATGCAGTGAGTTAGGAAGGCAAAAAGTTTAACATTTCCAGTAGCTGCTTTTTATATCCATTTGAACTCTGCGGTCACTTCACTGCACAGACTTTGCACTACTGTTTTGTGAGCAGAATTTGAATGTGATTTTCAAAGTCATAATAAGAATTTTTTTGTTTCCTATAATCAGAGGTGAAGGCAGCCACCTTGGCTCTCAGCTCGATTCAACCCATTGTAAGGACAAAGACGTATTACTGCACATTGGGTATCGGTTATAACTGAAATAATATTCCAGTGTTTGTGCAGAAATAATGTATTTCTTTTCAGTCTTTTGTAAATAAAGCCATAAAAAGGGAGTTGCCATGACATTAAATGTATAGAAACTGTATACAAACATTTTATGTGATCATCAATATAAGTAGGTTTTTTCCCCAAAAATTGTTTCCCTATGGCCTTATAGAAATTAGTTGTGTACTACCTGTTTTCTAAAAGTGTGTATTTACTGAATAACAACATAATTGACTTCTGACTCTTTCTATATACTTCATGGCTACTAAAATACTTGAGATTTTTGTGTGTTAAATCAAAATACAGTATTTCCTTTTCTAGAAAGCACACTTGAACTCTGTGTTCTTATGTGATACCATCATAATTTTTATACTTCCATTCTGAATCAGGAATATCCTGCCACATGCAGGAATTATTCCTGGTTTCCCTCCATGTCCACTGGCAACTAAGACCTCTGTATCTGAGACAAGAGAAGTCCCCCAGTGCTGAGCAGAGCTCCTGAACAAGGGAGGAGCCCTTGCCAGAGTCAGTTCTACTCAGCTGGACAAACCCAGCCGGACAAACCCAGCCTCACCAGAAAGGTCTTCTGATCACACTTCACCCACTGTTGTTTTCTCTCCAATTGTTTTTATCAGCCATAAATGTTTTTGAGCTCCAATCACTACGTTTGTTTCAAACTTAAAAACCCCCTCTCATTTACTCACCCCATGTATCTGGTTTTTGTTCCAGAAGACACTTGCAGAAGTAGCAAAGTGATGTGAAGTTGTTTTCCAAGATGACTCTTCTACCTGGAGAAAATTCCGATTATGACTATAGTGCCCTGAGCTGTGCTTCAGATACATTCTTTCCAGAAACAGAAACCCTTAAGGGAGTCTTTTACCAAAGAGCCAAGCTAATTCACCCTCAAGAGGATCTCCTGAAAGGCTTTCACCCTGATGATCGGAAGCATCATATTATTATAAACGTAGGGGGCATTAAGTATTTGCTCCCGTGGACCACGCTTGATGAATTCCCATTGACACGTTTGGGACAACTAAAATTCTGTAATAATTTTGATGACATTTTAAACATCTGTGATGATTATGATGTAACGTGTAATGAGTTCTTTTTCGACCGTAACCCAGGGGCATTCAGGACAATCCTGACCTTTTTGCGGGTTGGAAAACTTCGGCTCTTGCGTGAGATGTGTGCACTGTCATTCCAAGAGGAGCTGCTCTACTGGGGAATTGAGGAAGACAACCTGGACTGGTGTTGTAAAAGGAGATATCTGCAAAAAATGGAGGAGCTTACAGAAATAAATGAACGGGAAGATGACCTCATAGAAAATGAAACAACAGGTGAAACAGTAGAGGAGACAAAAATTGGCTTGTGCATGAAAAAGTTGCAAGACATGGTGGAAAGGCCCCAGTCTGGCCTCCCTGGAAAGGTGTTTGCTTGTTTGTCTGTTATATTTGTAACTATTACAGCAGTGAACTTATCCATCAGCACCATGCCTGACCTGAGGGAGGAGGAGGAAAAGGTAAGTTAGATTTTCAGGATGGAAAATGGTATGTGCTGGGAAGAGCAGAACAAGTACAAGGTCTGATGGTATTGATTTCAATAGAGATTTTGCAGCTGTCTTTAGAGAGGGAAAAATAATACAAGGAATATTTGAAATCTTACATGACTGTGTTCAATTACTTGTAACAGAATTAATCATATCAAGTTTTATGTCCAAAGAAAATGTTGTTAGTGTGCACTCCTCTGTACAACTGTATATTACCTTGTTAAGCTTTTTATTTGCTATTTAGAAAGCCTTAAATTACCAAGCAATATCTTCTGTTAAATAAGTAGTTCCTTTCTAAGTTTTACATTTAGTTCATTCCAATTTGTCAACATGTTTCCCCATAGCAACAGCTTCAATTCCTTTAATACTTTGGGTTTAAAAAAAAACAGCACAGAAACCTCTCTTCCTGTCACCGTACCAACTAAAATAGTTATTATCCAGTGCCGATTACAAACTCCTCTTTCCTGCAGGGTGAGTGTTCCCAGATGTGCTACAATATTTTCATTGTGGAGTCTGTCTGTGTGGCATGGTTTTCCCTGGAGTTCCTGCTAAGATTCATCCAGGCGAAGAGCAAGTTTGCATTTTTGCGGAGACCATTAACCCTGATAGACATAATAGCCATTCTGCCATACTACATCACTTTGCTATTAGACACCACTTCAGTGGGCTATAAAAAGCCCAGCTCTGGGAGTATCTACCTGGACAAAGTAGGTCTGGTCCTCCGCATTCTCCGTGCCTTGAGGATTCTCTACGTCATGCGGCTGGCCAGACACTCCCTGGGGCTGCAGACGCTGGGGCTGACTGCTCGCAGGTGCACCCGGGAGTTTGGTCTCTTGCTGCTCTTCCTCTGCGTGGCCATCGCACTGTTTGCACCGCTCCTGTACGTCATCGAGAACGAGATGGCGGACTCGCAGGAGTTTACCAGCATCCCCGCATGCTACTGGTGGGCTGTCATCACCATGACCACGGTAGGCTATGGAGATATGGTTCCCAGGAGCATTCCCGGCCAAGTGGTGGCACTAAGCAGCATACTGAGTGGCATCCTCCTCATGGCATTTCCAGTCACCTCCATCTTCCACACGTTTTCACGCTCCTACATTGAGCTAAAGCAAGAACAGGAAAGAATAATGTACAGGAGAGCCCAGTTCTTATTAAAAACAAAGTCTCAGATAAGCAATGTGTCACAAGGGAGTGATATTTTATTCCCCAGTATCTCTTCTGAGACTAGGGACAATGAATGAAATGTAAGGTACTATTTCTCATGATGTCAAGTAATGTTTTGTTGTATCAAATTCCGTCTTTTAATTTGCTTTGGAAGCATTTCAGTTAACTCTTACATTAAAATGAAGAAAATAAGCTATTAACCAGGAACTGATGTGTTTTAGGAAGTCTATTATTATGCTGTTTCTCCCCTCCTCTTCCCTCCAGTATAATGTATAGGACAGATCTTTCACTGAGATCATACAGTGGGATTTTAGGAATTAAAAGTTCTCCGACAAAAAAAAACAACAACAACATATAATTATGTACTTGACAGGCTGTTTTGCCATTCATAATACACATTTTTCCAACCAAATCGCAATGTATATAATCATTAAACAGGCTGCCATTTTTCTTGTTCTTCTTGTATATAAATAATGTAAATACAACAAAATTAATGGTTAAATTCTCTCCCAGTAAAATGCCTTAGAGCGTAATGGAAATAACCACAGATGATTGTCCCATTGTGCTCTTAAAAAACATTAAGATTTGTCATTCACAACAGCAAATGTATATTTCTTTGCAAGTCAGCCCTAAACATACCAGAAAGGAAGAATCGAGCTGTTTGTATCATAACCTTGCTAAAGATGTAAATACTTAGAGCTTACCAGCTTCAAAATGTAATTGAAGTTACAGTGTTGATCCTATGTCATTGAATGCAGTATTCACAGGAACAAAGTCTTTGAGCTTTGTAGCATTTAATATTATTATCAAGAGGTTACTAGCTGCAAATCAAATGAAATATGCATGATGAGATGCCAGTCGTTCCCTACCATCTGTTTCCATGTTTTTACTTTACCTCAAATATGAAACAGGATTAAAAGAGGCCTGTTTCCAGGGGACACCCTACCATTACTTGGCAAATCAGCACTGCAGATACCCATTCACATTCAGCATTTGGTTCTTTAAAAGGAGCAGAAAATATATGGTCGTGGGAAGTTGCCAATGATGAGAAAAAGAAAATATCATTTGAGTCATGGAGTGGGGGGTACTGACAGCTTTAAACTTCACTGCCCTCAATCATGAGGGATGTAAGACTTAATTAACTATACCTTTGCCATCATTACAGACATCATAGTAATGGAGAAAATTTTAAATAGGATATGAAAAAGCAATTAACGTCCGAAAACACAACCATCTATTCTTCATCCACACGTGTGTCTTGGACTAGGTTCCCCTGCTGAAGCCAATGGGAGCACATGGGTCAATGAGACACTCAGGTCTGGCACAGATGTCTATGGAGATTAATGACAGACATCCCATTTATTTGAGAGTGAATGAGACTGACTTGCAGACAAGAAGATTAAAAAAAAAATAAATCCACTTGTTTGATGTATGTTTAGAGGTAAAGAAAAGGTCATCTTAAGAGTTTCACTTTTGTAACCCTCTTTTTTAGTAAATGTACTTATTAACAGATAAGAGCTAGGGAAATGTAGAAGTTCCCATTGCATTCACCAATGCTGCTTTACCTTAATTTTCAGAAATGCTATTGCTTATTGGCATTTCTGGGGCAGGTTGCTGGAAATGCCAGAATGCATGATGGTTTTGTCATTTAAATTAAGGTCAAGGACACAAACGTCCTTTCAAAAAAGGTAGAATTAGTTCCTCAGCCTATGCTGTTTGGTCAAGCTCACTTTACACTGTTTTTCTTTTCAAATGTCTTTAAATAAGAATTTGAAACTGTTCTGATATGCTTGAAGAATAATTCCAAAACTTTTAAAAATGCGCTTTATAAATAATTAGGGCTCTAGCATTCTTCAGCCTCTTGTAGGTAAATATGCCTATGGAGTATGACTGCAGAGTGCTAAAATACAGTCTAAACTCTTGGCAAATAATTATGTGCCAGAGCTACGAATGTAACCAGCTTTTCACTCTTGTTCTTCAGCTTTAATTAGAGTTGGACAAAAACAGGAACATCGTGACAAAAACGGGAGACATTTTCCATCCAAAATACTCTTAATTTCAAAACTGTTTGATCATTTGTAGCATTGGCTTCAACACGAGTGCTATACATCCTTCTACCTTTGTGTCAGCATTCATTATAAAAAAACGATAATTAGATTAGTCCTGTGAGCAACAGTTGCTTATCGAAGAATGTGTTTGACAGGCTGAGCCATAAATAAGCTGTAAGTGAATGTAAGGAGAAATCAAGACTTACCAAATAAAACCCAAGCTTATTTCCATGTTATGCTAGCTAATAAATGCTGAAGGTCCACCCATTTTCTCAATGTCTTTACATTAAGTTAATGTTCACTTATTTCATGCATTGCTTTATTTTTTTAATCCAAAAATTATAGATTGATTCTGAAGTCCTTGTCCAGAAAAAAAAAAAAATACCACCCTGAAGTGGGGTGTTGGCTGAGCAAACCCCTGAAAGCTTCTTGCTTGTTGCAAGTTCTGCCTAAGCCAGGAACAAAGCAGCCATCCAGGATGTACCCCTATGTAATTCTGTACTTGGCAACACATGACTTGTAAGCATATCAACATGTTTTATTATGAATCACTGTAACTAACTTGCTTATGCTTCACAGGAGGTAATGCATACAGTAGTCCTTATGCTAAATAAATCCAGCTATACATCTTAAGAGCACAACATTAGTGTGAAACCCACATGCTGTGTTCCAGCTTTTACTGTGAAGGCTGAACGTTTAAGATGATTATGCCTCTTTACAGTATATTATCTGAATTTTTATTCAAATTCATGAAAATTATGGATTGATTCAAAAGCTGACTATTTCCAGTGACATAACTGACAGCTACAATGTCAGCTATGACTCCTTTTTTGCATTTTAAGAGCATGTGCAGTCAACAAGGAAGTTCCAATAAAAACTTTATGCTTTTATGAAGTCAAAAGAATTGTTTGAATTGCCACTGATAAGTGGTGCATGTCTCCAATAGAGATAGGCTTGCATTGCTATTTATATTATCCTCTGTATACTGCAGTAATATGTACAGTATGAATTCAAACAGCAGTAGCTGTATTAATTTTGATTAATAAAGTGTTAGGCTCTCCTTTCATTTTCATGTGCTTCTTATGGTACAGAAAGACTGTCACACATGCTATAGGAATGCTTGACAACCTAGGCTCAAGAGAAGTCAGCAGCAGCTGAGGGAGCATTCGGGCTATGAGCATCGCTAGGCAAAGCGGGCTGGCTGTGAAAGAAAGCACTTGTTAGGAAACAAAATTATCTCAGTACAGAGAAATCTAGGTACCAATTCAGCAACTTGAATAGGGAAACCTCTTTCTTGCGTGTTGTCCCAAGAATCATAATCACAAGTATTGAACTGTTAAATGGGACATAGCTTTAAAATATTTTTAAACATTTAACCAAAGAATCTAACAGATTCAGAAAAGAGCAGGTAAGGATCTGTGGAGACTAAGAAAGAAAAAAATTCCTGACAAAACCAGAATTTCCAGGTAAGGTGGTATATTACATTACTCAAAATCTTTCACTTCTCTGTCCTCTTTCCTCAAAAACAGTAACAAAACCAACAAAAATTACTTGGCGAGTGCAACACTGATAAATATACTTCAAAGAACATCATTTACAAGGTGAGTTGGAATAATTTGTATTACACTAACACTCATTACAGGGCAAGGTCTTAGGGAAATTTTTAATTAGGGAATACAAAGGCTTGTCTCCATTTGTCCCTGTATGTTTTTTCTGCTGTAGTTCAGTACTCCAGATTGCCGTGGTGAGAGGCTTTATTAATGTTATTGAATAGTCAGAGTCTATAGCAATATCCAATTAAACAATTAAAAAAATCACACAGAACTGAATCATGGATTTACACATCATCAGATGCACGTCTGGGAAGAAAAACTGTCATGCTTCATACATTCATGACTTGTGTGGGTAGAGTTTAACTGGGTATTCAAGCTGATGCAAAAGCAAAGATTTTTGCTGTAGATGGTTCTCATTCCTACTACTATAGCTTTCCTCTCTAAAACCAAAGACTCATAGGAATCTCTGTGAACAAAACCGTTCCACTCCAATAGTCCTTGAGGCTATAGACTGAGACTCAAGAGTAAAAATCTGTTTTAGGCATTTAATAAAGTGCCTGAAGTGGTGGTCAAAAGATCTGGAACATCACTGGGGAAAATGTGGCCTTGTCAATTTTTTATTTTTTATTAGGGGGAGCCTAGAATAAACTAGATCTCTAATTCAGGTGTCGCGTTAAAAGGTCAATGTTAGGATAAATGAATTGGAGTGTTGTTCTTCAATTGCACAGAAGCACCAATATCTCCCAGCACTAACTCCACGTTATTTGCCCTTTCCACATCTCATTCACTGTATGTGGGGACCAAGGAACATGACGCAACACAAAGAATCTGGGTCCAGAGAAGTCAGCTTGTTCTTGGTCAGGGTCAGCAGCAAATACAACAGTTCTTGGCAGCTCATCTCTGACTAAACTAGTTCTGTTCTGTACAATTATAGAAATTTTTTTCGTATATAAGAAAAAAGACTAGTAAGTTAAAACAAGAGGAAAGGAACAGATACTTCTCATTAAAAAGCTACAAAATTCCACATCCCTCTCTTGGGTTTGCAGCAGGCTAACATCCAGACTGGATACTCTTAAACCTACACAGATGTAATTGTTTGCGTTTATCAGAAATTAGACAGAGAAGTCACAAATGTGTCTTTGAAGACTGTGACATCAATCTCTGCTCACGCATCAGGCAGTGACATTAACCCCAACCTGATCAGTTGACCTGATCACTCTGACCAGGTGTCAGAGTTTCACCATTTTCACACTCATCACTCACCATTTTCATTTCTATCAGTTTTTACAGTAGCACATGGCCCTGGTTTTTCTGTACTAATAGTTTGTTGACAAGGTCTGACAGTTAATTTAGTATCTGTCTATCCAAAAGATGATATGGGTACCAAAAATACAGGAAGAAAAAAAAAAGGTAGAAAAAAAAAGTAGTACAATGCCTCCTGAGATCGTGGAAGTGTGGTATCCCACGGGCACGAAG